CATGAACAACTTTGTAATGCTCTAATTCATGGTGATTAAATTAGCACAGCGGGTAGGGCGTCTGCCTTGCATGCAGCCAACATGGCCGACCCGAGTTCGATTCCTCCACCCCTCTCGGTGAGCCCGGCAAGCTATCGAGAGTATTCGATATGCCAGACACAGTAAAAATATAAATTATAAATTAAAATATTATTTTAATTTTTTATTTTAATTTAAGTTTTTTAATTTTAATTTTGCCACTGAAAATGGCAAATGAAACCTGGGCTAACAATAACTGAATAGGAGAAAATATTTGCGTTCAACATACCAGAATTGTTTTCAGGTTGTTTTCAGGAACCTACTCAAAAAGATCAAAAATGAAAAAGAATATAAAATGGAGAGTGGAAATGAACAGAGACATCTCTGAAGAAACCAATGGATGGGCAATAGACACATAGAAATATGCTTGTTACTTATTATTAGGAATATGCAGATTAAGACAATGAGATACCAGGGCTGGAGAGATAGCACAGCAGGTACGGCGTTCGCCTTGCAGTTGGCCGACCCGGGTTCGACTCCCAGCATCCCATATGGTCCCTGAGCACCACTAGGAGTAACTCCTAAGTGCAGAGCCAGGAGTAAACCCTGTGCATCGCAAGGTGTGACCCAAAAAGCAAAAAAAAAAAAATGAAATACCATCTCACATTAGTGAGGATGGCAAATATCTAAAATACTGGAAATGATATGTGTTTGCAGTGGTGCAAGGAAAAGGACACTCTCATCTGCTGCTGGCAGGAATGCTGTTTAAACCTTTATGGAAAACAGAATGCAGATTTCTCAGTAAACAAATTAATGAGATGCTATATTAACTAACAATGTGACTTCTATGTATCTACTCCCAATACACGAAAATATTCACTGAAAAGCTGTGAGACACAGATCCAGCTTTATTTTTATTTATTTATTTATTTATTTGCTTTTTGGGTCACACCCAGCGATGCACAAGGGTTACTCCTGGTTCATGCACTCGAGAATTACTCCTGGCCATGCTTGGGAGACCATGTGGGATGCTGGGAATAGAACCCAGGTCGGGCTGTGTGCAAGGCAAATGCCCTACCCGCTGTGCTATCACCCCAGCCCCCCAGCTTTAATTTTTTAAATATAAAAATTCTAATTTTCCTAGCACTGGTAAAGAGGCTATCTTTACTCCATTTCATGTTCTCAGCTCCTCTGTCCACACTTCAAAGGAAAGGTAGACCAGAATCCAAAGACAGCTAATTGACTGTGAGAAATTATTAACATATTAATCCGATAAAGGGATGGTATGCAAAATATACGAAGCATGGTAAAACTTTATAAGAAAAAATAAAACCAAATAAAAATGGGAGAACAGATGAACAAAAAGTACCTCAAAGAAATCCAAAAGGCCAAGGCATATGGATAAATGTTCTATATCACTAATCATCAGGGAAATGAAAATCAAAACAACAATGAGATACCACCTCATACCAAAGAGACTTGCACACATCAAAAAGAATGACAACCAATGTTAGCACGGATGTGGGGGGTAATGGTATCTCACTCACTACTGATGGGAATATCAACTGGTACAGCTTTTTTTGAAAAAAATGAACATTTTTAAAAAATAGGAATTGAACTTGATATGAAAAAGAAACTACACTCCTGGGAATATGATATAACAGCCCCCCATACACACTCAATAAAAGGCATTTGAACCCCTACATTCATTACGGCACTATTCACAATAGCAAAAATCTGTAAACAACCCAATTGCCCAAGAACATACAAGTGGATAAAGAAATGATGGTACATATACACAATAGAAAAAGACACAGGCTTTTGGAATTCTGAAATATGTTGCTACATGGATGAACATGGAGAGTACCATGCTTAGTGAAATTAGTCAGAGTGAGAGAGATATAGGTTGGCCACATTTATTTGTGAGATATAGAGAAACATTGTAGGAGAATAATATTCAAAGACAATAGAAACAAAAGCCATGAAGATTGGTCCTTAATTAAAAAAAGCCACAATGGGGAGAGAGCGGTATGGCCAGACTAAGGACGACTATGTCAATGATAATGAGAAGTGGTCAGTCTAGACAAGAACTAGATGCTTAAAGGATGTAAATTGTATGCATAATACTCCTTCAGTAACAGTATTACAAACTACAGTACATAAAAGGACAGAAAATGAGTATTTGCCATAGAAGCATGGGGTATAGAGCAAAACTGGGGACATTAGAGGAGGGAAGTGGACACTAGAGATGGAATGTGTGCCCAAACATTGTACAACCAAAACTCAATCATAAACAAATTAATAACTTGTATCTTATGGTAATTCAGTAAAATTACAAAAACGTTGAAAATTAGCTGTCCATTAATATGGGGTTGTATCCATGGATATTCTATTACCCTCAGGACAGAAAACATCCATTTGAAAGACACATGCTTACTATTATTCATTGCATCATTTAATATGATAGATAAACAGATGAGTGAATCATAAAGATGTATTATATGTACACAATGGAATACTACACAGATATAAGGATATATGAAACCATGCTACTTGCTGCAGCATGAATGGAACTGGAAGGTATCAGGTTAAGTAAAGTAAGCTATAAGAAGAAAGACACAGACAGAATAGACTTACTTATTTTTGGTATGTAAAATATCTGAGCAAGGAAATAAAATGTTCAAAATCTGTATATGCCTGAAACACCCTTGGCCCCAGAATACAGGGAATAAGGACAGAAAATTTATTTTATTTATGAAATTGAGAGTGGAAAAGAGATCAATAGGAAGCAATGGGCAGCAGGGGTCAAGCAGTAAAGTACATCAGTGGTGTATGTAAAGGAATGATATAACTAAATACACAAATCGTAGATATAATAACAAATAGATCAAACAACCAAACTTAAGAATGTCCCTGTCATACCCATGACATTATTCAAAGAAATGGAGCAAACACTTCTGAAATTTATATGGAAAAATAAGCCCCCACGAATAGCTAAAGCAATTCTTGGGAAAAAGAAAATGGGAGCAATCAACCTCCCTAACCTCAAATTCTACTACAAAGCAGGAATAATTAAAACAGCATGGTAGTGGAACAAAGGCAGAGCTGGAGACCAATGAAACAGGGGTTAATACACTGATATCTCCCTCCCAAGCATATGGTCATCTAATCTTTGATAAGGAGGTAAGAAAAGTGAAGTGGAGCAAGGAAAGCCTCTTTAACAAATTGTGCTGGCAAAACTGGACAGATACATGAAAAAAGTGGGCTCAGATCTCTACCTAACGCCATGTACAAAAGTAAGATCAAAGTGGATTAAAGACCTCAATATCAGACCCGAATCCATAAGGTACATTGAAGAAAAAGTTGGCAAAACCGTCCATGAGATTGATGCTAATGGTATCTTCAAAGATGTCACGCCACTGGCCAAGCAAGTGAAAACAGAGACAGACAAATGGGACTATTTTAAACTAAGAAGCTTCTGCACCTCAAAAGAAACAGTAACCAAAATACAAAGACAGTCTACAGAATGGGAAAGAATATTCGCCGAATACCCATCCGATAAGGGGTTGATATCAAGGATATACAAAGTACTTGAACTCCACAAATATAGAACATCCATCCCCATCAAAAATGAGGGCAATGAAAGGAACAGAAACTTTATCAAAGAAGAAATCCGAATGGATAAAAGGCAATGAGAAAATGCTCTGCATCATTAATCATCAGGGAGATTCAGATCAAAACAACAATGAGATATCATTTCACAACAAGGGCAGATGTCACTTCGACTATACTTTTTTGCCTCTATTGGATATATTCCCAGGAGTGGTATTTGACCCAGCAATACCACTCCTGGGAATATATCCAATAGAGGCAAAAAAGTATAGTCGAAGTGACATCTGCCCTTGTTTGTTCATTGCAGCACTCTTTACAATAGCCAGAATCTGGAAAAAACCTGAGTGCCCAAGAACAGATGACTGGTTAAAGAAATTTGGCACATTTACACAATGGAGTACTATGAAGCTGTTAGAAAAGATGAATTCATGAAATTTACATACAAGTGGTACTAAATTGAAAGTATCATGCTAAGCGAAATGAGTCAGAAAGAGAGGGATAGACATAGATTGCATTCATCTGGGGAACATAAAGTAACAAAATAGGAGCCTAACACCAAATAGTTGCCGAGATTAGTACCAGTAATTTTGCTCCATGGCTTGGAGGCCAGCCACACATGCTAGGGTTAAAGGGAGCTCAGATAGAGAAGTGAACACCAAATAAAGGATTTTGGGAGGATCCTCCCAGGATGGGAGAAGCATGCTGAAAGTAGACTATGGACCAAACATGGTTGCCACTCAATGCCTCTTTTGCAAACCACAACACCCAAAAGGAGAGAGAGAACAGAGGGTAATGCCCTGCTACAGAGGCAGGATGGGATGGAGGGGACGGGGGTGGGAGGGATACTCGGATCCGTGGTGGTGGGAAATGGGCACTGGTGGAGGGATAGGTATTTGATCATTGTAGAATTGAAACCCAAGCGCAAAATTTGTAAGTCTACAACTGTACCTCATGGTGTCTCACTAATAAAAAAAAAATAATGTCCCTGTCAAGGTGGCAAACTGGAGGTGTGAATTCTGTGGAGGTATCTGGGAACTTTAGTGGAGGGAAGATGACTCTGGTGATAAGATTGGTGCTTAAACATAGTATGTCTAAACCTCAACTATGAACAACTTTGTAAACCATTGCGCTTTAATATTTTTAATTTAAAATAAAAATTAGAAAACATATTTTGGTTGGGTTTCATTTAAAATATTAACTATATGTAAATAATAACCTGGATTTTTGTGTTTTTTAATTCTGTTAGTCTATAATGTTGCTAAATAACACTCATCAGGTTGTTGTTCAATATTTAAGCGGTTTTATTATATCATTCCTTCCTTCCTTCCGAGTATCCCAAATTATATAGTTTCATATCTTACACCTTTTACCTCTTTTACAGGTGACAAGTGGTCCAATGAGGCCTGTGGCAATGTCTCGTGGTGCATCTACATGAGAATGGTAGATCCAGGTGAGACATGCTGGGTCAGCATCAGTGGGTGCATGTCCTTCTGGAACAGTCCAGTTGTAGATGTGACTGTCTCCCGGAAGAACATAGTCATCAGCTTTCAGATGACCAGAGGTTCCATCTGGGTATAAGGAACCTAAAAAATTATATTTCACACTCTCATTTCCGCAGTGAGTAAGAGGTACTCAAGTGTATATAGAAGCCAAGAGATGACTGACACCTGGAATACCTAGGTCCACTCTTGTAGAAAATAAACTTATACAGTCCAGCACAGTGCTCATCACAACCCAAGGAGGGCACCAGTTCAGGTAATATCTGGTCAAAAGAACACCAGATCTTACTCACATAAAAATGGAGAGGTAGCCATCCTTTATGGAAGGGACTATGGCCCCATAAAAGTATTGTACACCTTGATCTAGTCATGTTCTAATGCAAAGCATTTGACATGGTGAAAAGAAAGAAGACAGAATTTCCTCCCTTCAAAGACTCACTTTGGATAAAATAAAATAAATGAAATTTTAGCCTAAAGTCGAATTATTGATTAGTTACCTATTTCTCCATTTTATGGAAAATGCAGAATATAATATGCACAATATTTTATGAATTATAAATGACTAAGTAAAGAACTTCTGAATTCCCTTTCATTCACTGATGTGGGAAGTAAAGATTAATAAGCTTATCTCCATCTTACTTTAAAATATGGACCTTAGAATGAAGACCTTTTACATTCTCTTTACAAAGCACAGTCAAAAACTCTATGGAGATGCCATTAAATAAACTCTGTGATAAAAGTTATATTTAATCTCCACAATTGCAATGAAGAATCTGAGTATAAGAGAGGGACAGTGACTCACCCAGAGTATTAACATAAATATACCTACCCTTGTTTAATCACAACTACCACAGATTAAAGAAGAAAATATTCCCAGTTCTCTTTTATCAGATGATAGTAAAGAAAAAAGATATTTGTTCTGTCAAGAAGGAAAAATAAGGCTTCACTGACTTACCTTCTGAATCCTTCTTGTAGAAAACACCATGAGGATGAATGGTGTAAGGACGAGTTGCAAAATTCTTCAAGTGAATAATGATGACATCCCCCACTTCAGCCCATAGTACTGGCCCCAGAAAGCCCAACCAGGAAGGCTGTGTCATTTCCTCCATGAATGTGTCATCCTTGTATCCCTTATAGATTGTTTTCTTATAGGTGCTGCCTATTCGTTTCTTGCCAGACTTTAGGAAGTTGGAAGCTACCCTGGAAAGGAAAAAGAGAAATATAATTTTGCCAAATCTTCAACTGTCTGCCCGAATTTTTTACATTAAAGTATTTACATTATTATCTAGGAAAATGCAAAATATATGATTGTGTTTATTGAAATATGAAAGATTAGTATGAAAATTGTATTAATGTATATATTATATTCAATGCTGAAGCTTAATATTAAAAGATAACTTTTAAGTCTAACTGCAAGTCAATGGGAAGTATTAATAAGAAGTGAAATCTATCATATTTGGCTAATTTTAACCTACAAAAATGGCAATTACCAAAGTAATAGATCATCTGGACCCAGGATAACTAAATACCAAAAGTGGTATTTAGTTCTTTACTTAGTTCACGGTACACTGTCCTCCCGTTGTTCATTGATTTTTGCTAGAGAGAGCACCAGTAACATCTCCATTGTGAGACTTGTTGTTACTGTTTTTGGCATATTGAATACATCATGAGTAGTTTGTCAGGCCTTGCCGTACGGGCAGAATACTCTTGGTATTGATGGGTTCTCTGAGAGGGGTGGAGGAATCCAACCCAGGTTGGCGGCATGCAAGGCAAACGCCCTACCTGCTATGCTATCGCTCCGGCCCAAAATACCAAACTACCATTTCTAAAATTTACAAAATTTTGTAAAAGTTACATCTTGGTGCAGAATTTCTCCATATGTAAAGTAGAAATAATAGAAAGACCATATTTAGCAGATGTGAAATGCAAATAAAAGAAAAATAAATAAAAATAAAATAAAACTTACATGTCACTGTCCAGAGGTTGGTTTGTGATTATATTCCTTCCCTTGGGAGCATAGTTCCATTGTATGTCCTGGATGCCCACATAGTATACTCGAGTTACTCCATTAGTCATCTGCAGCCACAATGCTTGCATGAATAGCAAAGTGCAGAGGAAATGCCCTGGATTCATGGCCCACATTACACTGGGAATCAGACCAATGAATAACTGCTGGATTGAAATAAATGCAAGGAAGGCTGTTAGCATGCATCTGGAAAATTAGAGTGGCGTATTAAATGAGTTAAAGGCAAAAAACAAATGATCTCCCCTGATTATTTTAAATGAAGAAGGCATGTGATGATATCTACACATTGAACTGTGGATAACAAAGTTGAAAAATTATACTGATGCATCACTTACTTTAGAAAAGTAAGATCTAGCTACATGTAGATCCAGCACTTTCAGCAATATAGAAAAAATGTACTGAACAAAGAATCAGGAAACAAACCAGAAAGAAAGCATTATTGGACCATTTACTCATTATATACTTGAATTAATTCACTAATTCTAGGCATATCCCCCTTTTTATGCTACAATTTTTTATTTTTTAACTATAATCTTTAAAATAGAAGAATGCCTTTGTTTCTATTGTCTGAGGGCCAGAAAGACTGGCCAATGGTAGGAAGTTTGCCCCAAAGGCAGGGAGGGAGAAGTTAATTTAGGACAGGGAAGGGAATACTATGACAATGATAGTTGAAAATGATCACACTGGACAAAACTGAGTTTTGGAAGGAGGTAAAATGATATGCATGTTACTCTTTCATTAGAAGTATTGAAACCACAGGGCCTTTAAGGGGGGGAGTGTCTACCATAGAGTCAGGTTGGGTGGGGTTATGGGTGAGAAACTGGAGACATTGGTGATGGAAAATACACACTGGTGAACAGATGGGTGTTGGAATATTGTATGACTGACACTCAATCATGAACATCTTTGAAATGGTGTATTTCACAGTGTTTCAATAAAAAGTAAAATGGGAAAAATGAGAATGCAATAAAAGGGATTAACTAGTATGTTAATATCTATATATTTATTGGACCCTTAAAGAAAACTCTCACATCATAAATGGATTTGATGAGTAATTTATGTTATTTGAACAATCAAATTATATTTAGCAAAAATGATAATATAAAAAATGACATGGGCTGGAGAGCCAGAGGGAATACAACAGTTAAGTAATTTGACTTGCATAAAGCCAACTCTCATTATAAGGTCTCGTGAGTATTGCCAGGTGTGGCCAGTAATAAGCCCTGAGCACTGCTTGCAGTGGCAAAATTATGCCATCTTGCTTGCAAAGAAACTGTGAAACTGCCCAACTCCGCAACCAAATTTTTAAAAAATATGACCCTACCAAATCTTCCCTGGTAGACTGGTCCAAGCTGACAAGTCTGGGGCCTTTTAGAAATGGGGACAGGCAGATTCCCTTTTCTGACTGATGCACAGCAGCCAGCAGCCACACCTAACACTGTATGATATAGAAGACAAAGAATGGTCCAGCTCCATAACTAAACCTCATCAAATTGCCAAGTCACCACATCATTTAAGTTCCATTGCTCCTGGACCATGCATCCATGTGACACATCCAAATATCTTAGAACTGTCAGTCCAATAGGGTCACAGCAAACTTTATGTAAATGTTGGAGAAGACAACCAAGCTCAATGAGTGAGAGCAGTAACATAGAAGGCCCAGCTAACATCAACCAGACAAGTAAATTCTTAGACAATGACTTCAGTAATACCAGTGTGAGATAAAACTACTATAATTTTTTTTACTTATTTAAGTTTTGATAATTCCATTTGCCTTTGTGTTTTAACAAACAATATGAAGTAAATTTGTTTGTGCCTGCTAAGGGGGCTGGCTTGAGTGGTAAGCAGAAAACTAAGGACATTGCTGGGGAGAAGGTCACACTAGTGGTAGGACATGTTACAACATTTAATGCCCAGAACAATTGTGTTATGAACAACTTTGTAAATCATGGTGTTATAATATTTTTTTAAAAAACTATACTTTCTTACTAAAATAAGGATGTATAAAGAAACCAGACACAAACACGGCATGCTGTATAATTTTATATCTCTAAAGTAAAAAAAACAGAAAATTTAATATCTACTGTTATAAATCAGGGTAGCCTTTGCTTTTGACGTAGGGATCAGTGTCTTGAGAAAATAAGAAAAGGCTTCTGGGTAATATTTATTCTGTATTTAGGTCTATGTATAAGCTAGATAAGTGTTATATGTTTATGGTAACACATTAAGCTATGTATTTAAGATATGTGTGCATTTCTCCCTATGTGTCACAATTTTTAAAAGGTTAAAATTAGACAAATTGATAAGAATTTATTATGATAAGAATAGTTACTATCTGCCCCTGACCCCAGACAAGCCACCCGCCAAGCAAGCCCCGCCGGAGGACAGCGCGGACCCCATCCCCCAGCGTGTGTCCAGCTCCGGGACAGGCGTGCACAGCAGCCCACCGCCCCCCCCCACATCCAGAAGCGCGGCCCGCCGAGCGAGCCCCACAGGAGGACAGCACGGATCCCAGGATCCTGGGAGGGAGTGGCCTGGGACTGGCTAGGGGCGTGGCCTCTAAGAAGGGGGCGTGGCCTCCTAAAAGTGGGCGTGACCTGCTTCCGGGCGGGCGGACGCTTACGCGGCCGCAGGTATATCACTCACTCCAAGCAATTTGGACCTTCATCCTTTCATCCGTTTCATCAACTTGTTACCTAATACCAACCAAAATTTCTCACCGCTTCTACTACAATTCAACAAAATCCCACTTGCCTACTCCATTTCCAACAAAATTTCTGTTTGAAAATAGCTATACAAGCCCAGTAGTAAATAGCAACTCCTCCAAAAGTTTCACTCAATGTCAGTTATAAAACAAAGAATAACGCTTGATTGAGAAGAAGGTCAGACTCAGAAAGGTAGAAGAGGTGCATCTAGCAGCAACAAAGCTGAACGGCTCCTGTCAGTCTCTCCACACTCAACCAGAACAGTAGCAGCGAGTGTGAAGGTCCAAACCATACTGGTCACAATGGTAAAGCAACGCAAAAGCCCACCAAACTTTCTTATTCACGAGGCTAACCCAGAAGATACCAACAGTACTATAGCGTTAGACAACCTCTCTGACAAGGAATTCAGAATGGAGCTACTCAGGATGCTTAGGGAACTAAAAGAAACAATGGAAACTAATGCCAATAAAAGACAAGAGGATTTGAAGGCAGAAATGAGGAAAATGCAATCGGAAATGTCGGACCTGAAAAACCTGGTAGCCGAATTGAAAACCACAGTGGAAGGCCTCAGCAGCAGAGTAACAGCGGCTGAGAACAGAATCAGTGAGCTCGAAGATCAAGTTCAGAGTCTTGTCAGAAAAGAGCAGAAAATGGAAAAGAGACTCACAGTTCGAGAACAGATGGCAAGAGAAGATCGTGATGAAGCCAAGAGGGGTAACATAAGAACTATTGGAGTCCCAGAGGGACAGGAAGAAAACCTTGATGAAGAAGAAACTGTCAAAGAAATCATTACTACAACGTTTCCATAGCTGAAGAAAACTTGTGAGCACATCCAGGAGGCCCGAAGGGTACCGGCTAGAAGAAATCCGAATAAAAATACCCCAAGACACATCCTGATCAAAATGACCAAAACCTTAGACAGAGACAAAATTCTGAAAGCAGCAAGATCGAAGAAAGAAATCTCTTACAAAGGAGCATTCTTAAAATTCACAGCTGATTTTTCTGATGAAACCCTCAGGGCCCGAAAACAGTGGTGGGACATAGTGAAAAAACTCAATGAAATAAATGCCTCTCCAAAAATACTTTACCCAACGAGACTCTCATTCATAAGAGAAGGAACAACACACAGTTTCACAGACAAACAACAGCTCAGGAACTTCATAGACTCAAAACCATGGTTACAAGTACAACTAAATGGGCTACTTTAAGGCAAGACAGGCCTCTCAAATACACCAAATTTCAACAGAACAATGGGACAAAATCCCATAACAATAATCTCTCTCAATGCCAATGGGCTAAACGCACCAATTAAAAGACATAGAGTGGCAGGATGGATTAGAAAATTGAACCCAACATTCTGCTGCCTGCAAGAAACACATCTCAATAGTCAAAGGAAACACAGACTCAGAGTCAAAGGCTGGAAAACAAACCTACAGGCAAACAGCTCCCATAAAAAAGCTGGGGTAGCCATCCTAATATCTGACCACATCGATTTCAGAGTGAAGAAGGTCATAAGAGACAGTGAAGGCCATTTCTTATTGATCAAAGGATCTGTACAACAGGAAGAACTTACAATAATAAATGTATATGCACCTAATGAGAGCAGCAAAGTACTTAAAACAACTACTCATAGATTTGTAAAAAGACATCAATAGCAACACAATACTAGTGGGAGACTTCAACACCGCTTTGTTACCTCTTCATAGATCAACCAGACTCAAGCTTAGCAAGGACATAATTCACCTGAGGGAAACAATGGAAAAAAGGGACTTAGTAGATATATACAGGACACTTCATCCACAAAAAGCTGAATACACGTTCTTCTCAAGCGTACAAGGAACGTTCTCCAAGATAGACCACATGCTGAGCCACAAAACATGCCTCCATAAAATTAAGAAGATAGAGATTATATCAACAATTTTCTCAGACCATAATGCGCTGAAATTAGAAGTAAATCACACGCAAAAACAGAAAACTAAATTAAACACGTGGAAATTAAACAGTGCGCTATTAAACAACGAGTGGATTAGACAGGAAATTAAAGAAGAAATCAAAAGATTCCTAGAAACGAATGAAAATGAGGACACGAGTTACCAAAAATTATGGGACACAGCAAAAGCGGTTTAAGAGGAAAGTTTATAGCTCTACAAGCATTCCTCAGGAAGGAGGAGCAAGCACACATAAGTAACCTAACCTCACAGCTTAAGAGCTTGGAGAAGGACCAACAAAAGGAGCACAACCCGAAAAGGAGAAAGGAAATAATAAAACTCAGAGCAGAGATTAACGAGATGGAAACCCAAAAAACAATCAGAAAGATCAATGAAACCAAAAGCTGGTTCTTTGAGAAAATTAACAAGATCGATAAGCCTCTAGCAAAACTCACATAGAAAGGGAGAGAGAAA